TTTTTTTAAATCTCACGAAAGATTAAAATATCTTTTCAAATCCTAGTTACAAATAAATTATTTACCTTATTATTTTGTAAGATTTTTTAAAATATCTATTGATTCCTAAAAAAATTTGTTAAAACTTAAAATTTAAGATGTGGTGAGTTGCTTAAATTAAATATGGGAAATTAGAAAATTTTTAATTGAAACGATCTAACTTCAAAACTGATGGATGATTCTTTTATTTTTTTAGTAAAAAAATACTTATATTATATTAAATATTGTACTATTATATATGTTATACTTTGAAGTACCATATTTTGACATGGAATTATGAATATCGGTCAAAAATTATAGATGCAACATGAATGTTATTTTGTAATTTTGGAAAGTATGTTATGGATGATATAACAAGTAACCACCTTCAAATATTACACTTTTTTTATGTGCAAGTAAGATATTACATGTGATGTTTAAAATTTGAAACTCAAATATTCACCAAATCGACTATATATTTCAAAATGGTATTTTGATTTATACTCCCTCCGTTTTGAATTACATGTCTTTGATTTTTTTTATTCATCAATTTTGTTATGTATCTAAATAATTATCTCATTTTATTGGACGAATGGATTTTACTTCACCTGTAACTTGTTAAATTTATGCACGTTGCTTTATCCCTTTCCATATTACATAACGAGCCGATCTCGAACATATGATTTTTTGACCGTATTCTTTGATATGCAAAAATAAAAAACTTAATGAAATTAAAATAAAGCAAAAAGTTCATATTTAACCTTTTTACCATAAAATGTCATCCTTTCACAAATTACATAGACAAAAACAAGATATTTCTTAAATTTTTGTTTTATTTTTTTTCTATAAATAAAAGGGTGAATGAGATAGTCAAACATCTTTGTAACATCGAATTCCCTTTATCTCATTATTATGGTAATAAAATCACACTTTATTGCATACTGATTATTTATTTTTATTTTTTATTTTGGGACAAACGGGTAATAAATAAATTAATAATATTATTTCCTACATCCCATTGTTTTCTCCTTAATCATTGCTTGTGTTGTGTGTGTAAACATACGAAAACGCGTACTGTAATATTTACCAATTTTCCCCTTTTTTATTTATTATTCAAAACCGCGTTATATTATATATACTCGCTTTATCTTCCCTTATTATACCTCTTTGTCTCCGATCTTCTCTCTCCTAAACCTGCTGTAATTTTCCTTCTCTCTAAACTCTCTCTCTACAAAATGTACTTTGATTAGAACAAATCTCCCAAATTCCTCTCAACCCCTCGAAAAACCCAACTCCCAACAGTCCTCCGGAGATCTCAATTTCAAGAAACCGTTCAAAAAATGACTGTCTCAAGATTCACGCCGGCGGCCGGTAGTGCCGCCGGAACCCTCCTACTTCTCATATTCCTCCACCTTTCTCCGCCGTGCCTCGCAATCCGCTCCTTCCCGGAGACGGGCTCCTCCGTCGCCGCCCGATTCGGATTTTCCGAGGCGCCGGAGTACCGGAACGGCGCCGGCTGCCCGGCGGCGTCCTCCTCCGCGTGCGACCCGTCCCTGATCCACGTGGCGATGACCCTCGACTCGGAGTACCTCCGCGGCTCGTTGGCGGCTGTCCACTCCGTCCTCCGCCACGCCTCCTGCCCGGAGCGGGTCTTCCTCCACTTCATCGCGGCGGAGTTCGATCCGGCCAGCCCCCGGGTCCTGACCCGACTCGTCCGATCCGTCTTCCCATCCCTCCGATTCCAAGTCTACATATTCCGCGAGGACCGGGTCATAAACCTGATATCCTCGTCGATCCGACCCGCTTTAGAAAACCCGCTCAACTACGCCCGGAACTATCTCGGCGACATGCTCGACCCGTGCGTGACCCGAGTCATATACCTCGACTCGGACCTCGTCCTCGTCGATGACGTGGCAAAGCTCTGGCGGGTCGAGCTGTCCGGTAACCGGGTCATCGGGGCGCCCGAGTACTGCCAGGCGAACTTCACCAGCTACTTCACGGAGAAATTCTGGTCCGACCCGGAACTGACCCGGGAGGCATTCGGGTCTCGGAGCCGGAGCCCCTGCTACTTCAACACGGGTGTGATGGTGATGGATCTGGGTCGGTGGAGGGAGGGGCATTTTCGGGAAAAGATAGAGAATTGGATGGAACTGCAGAGAAGGAACCGGATGTACGAGCTGGGGTCGCTGCCGCCTTTTTTGCTGGTTTTCGGTGGTGACGTGGAGCCAATCGGGCACAGGTGGAACCAGCACGGTCTCGGAGGGGATAACGTGGCAGGATCCTGTAGGGCGCTGCACCCGGGTCCAGTGAGCCTGCTGCACTGGAGCGGGAAGGGTAAGCCGTGGGTGAGGCTGGATGAGGGGAGGCCGTGTCCGTTGGATCACCTTTGGGAGCCGTACGATTTGCATAAAGGGCAGGATCGTAATTTGGTGTTATCAGGGGGTTTGGTAGAGTATGCAAGTTATATCTTTTGACTTTTTCTTGTTTTTTGGGGGGAATTGATTGAAGGGTTTTGATTGGTTGGTTTATTTTAGCTGAGCTGTACATAAAGAGAGGGGATTTATTGCTAAAAAATTGTCATTATGGATTGATTTTTTTTAGGTGAGGTTCCTTTGCTTGGGGAACCAATTTTGGGTTTTTATTCTTTTCTTTACATTCTTATTGTATTTATTTACCTACATTTTGATAATAACAATTTGTTGTTTCATTTTGGGATAGTTTATTTGAATTTTTTTTAATTGTATTTAGCATGTTGATATAAAATACAATTGATATAAATCCGTAACAGAACTGTAGCATTTCTCATATTTTTTTGATATTATTACTTTTGCAATTCACATTATTCTTTTTTAAAATCAACAATCACTATACATTCACTTTATTTTAATCACATTGTGTTATTATGTTATTATGTTTAAGATAGCATAACTCCTGATTTATGTTCCATGTATATTGGTCTTATGTTAGGTCTAGGGCATCATTAGGCTAATATACAATATTTCACATTTGCACATATTTCTATTGGATAATGCCATCATTTGAAAAAGTTAAATATAAGCATGATATTTAATAGTACAGTAATGCTCCTCTACTCATGGTGGACACATGTTAATATGTTCACTGCTTATGTGGCATGTACACATTGGTGATGTTAATATGTTCAAAATAATACGTCACTAATATATGCATGACACATAAACAGTGGGCATATTAACATGACATATTAACATGTGTCCACTGTGGATTCGTCTAAAGGTTAAACCACCTCATATAATGATTTATGTACTTTGAACAAATTGTTGAGGAATTTTAAAATCATTAGCTTTTTTATGTTATATGACATGTCATTGTTAATGTAAAATTTTTAATAAATATTAATTTGTAATTTGCAATATGCAAAGTGCCTAATGTGGCTAAGCAAGTCTTTGTTTAATGGTAAAGTTATGTTCGTTAACAAGGTAAAAAAAAGCTTCATTATCAATCATTAAAACGGTTTAAGTGGTTGAAAATGACTTTTTGTAAGTGTTAGGAATAAGCCCACTTTCATGAACCTTCTAAATGGTAATAACTTATAACCTCTTTCTCTAATTTAAAGTGTTCCGATTTTGGAACACACCATTTATACACTTTACGTGTTTGCCTTGTTTTTCTCCTTGTTGTGTTCATTTTTCACACTTTGATATGTCTTGAAATTTCCAAATGTTTCTCTTTTGTTTTGATTGTCAACAATTTGTTTTATTTTATTTTATTTTTCTTTTTCCTTTTTTGGTCCCAAACTTCCTAACATCAATTCTCTCTTCCCAACACAAAATTTGTTAGTCAAATTTAACAGTTAGTTAGTTAGTAGTGTAAGAAACAGGGTTGACGGATGCGGTCCCACGCACATGAAGCGCATAAAGATAAGGAAAATATGACATATTTCTAACGAGTACGTCATCCCACATATGGAGCTAGGTGTCTCAAGCCTTATTAGAAATAGACTCCCATTAACGGGTACGTGGAGGAAAACGGGTATGTCATCACACGGTCTCAATAGAACCGGTATCAAGACAAATTGAAATGTCATACTTTAAAAAACAACATAAATAAAAATATGAAATTTGATATTATAAATATATTTTAAAAATGTATGAGTGATAGATCGACTTTCCTAATGGTTAGGCAGAATCACATAAGAATCAGACCCGACTAATCGTTAGGTCTACCTAGCAACATTTTGCGTCTACATTATAAATGATGTTATTAGTCAGTCTAACAATTAGACAAGTGGTTTTGTCTTTTTTTTTTTAATGCATATTTATAGTTTATAATATCATAATCTTATTGATTATAATTTGTTAGGTATAAAAATAATGTATGGAAAATATACATCTATATGGGAAAGGTATTATTAAGAAAGCAACTTGGTCATTAAGTTTTGTAATTAGTTTCCTAATTGTGGGCGATTTGTAATCCTTTATTCCCTTTATTTTTTGGTTTGATAGTTCATTGCAAGTTACTTTAAGTTTTAGGGTTTTGGTATGAGAGTAATGGTCCCTTACCTATGGTGGGCCATGTTAATATGTTCGCCGTTTATGTGGCATTAACACATTGGTGATGTATTTTTTGAACATATTAACATCACCAATGTGTTCATGCCACATAAACGGTGGGCATATTAACATGTGTCCACCGTGAGTAGAGGAACATTACTCTTTTGGTATGAAGCTAACAATATCAATTATATATATGGGATACAAAATTTTATACTTAGAAAGAGAATAATTTAATTATAAAAATAAAATTTAAAGCATGGCAAGAAAAATTCATTGTTTATAAATTGTTTAATTTTATTTCTTTCCTCGCTAGGCGGTTTAGCTATGAAGTCAAATGTTGGCTTCATAGTGGAGCTAACCTTCAATATACAACAACTAAACCATACCATATTTTCTAATTACTTAAATAACACTTATACTAAACTACAGTTTCGCTTTGGAGCCATCGAATGACTCAACTTATGGAGTCATCCACATTTATTCACTAATAGTATATTGACATGTGTTCTGCAATAAATACATTTGGACATATATGTCAATACATTAAATGGTGAATTGCTCGATAAAAAAATCATCTGATAACTCTATAAAGTTTTTGTACTAAACTAAATGAATGGAGTATTAAACTCGAGTTTTATTTATTCTTGAAGTCACTTAATGTCGAATTTTATACTTTACAAATGAAAAAAAAAAATATATATTATCTGTTGGTTCCTTTTATTGTAGTACCTGTAGCCAACTATACAAATTCTAGCTGTTGGGCATGTCGCATCTCGCATGTGGTCCACTTGTTCAAATTTATGGATGTTTGTGTCTATGTATTATTATTATTATTATTATTATTATTATCTATTATTATTATTATTATTATTATTATTATTATTAAGTTTATATAATATTCAACTTTATGGATGTTTGTGTCTGTGCAAATTATTCCAAGGGTTCGGTTGTTCGCCAATTTAAGTGGTACGTGAGTTGGGTTTAGAACGTCGTGAGACAGTTCAGTTCCTATCTACCGTTGGTGTTAAAGGGAGAACTGCGAGAAGGTATTATTATTATTATTATTATTATTATTATTATTATTATTATTATTATTATGTTATTATTATTATTATTATTATTATTATTATTATTATTTTTTGTGTACATTTCGATGGTTTCACATTCAAGTCTATTTTATGTATAACTTCAGTTATGCACCAACACATTTCTAGTTGGGAAGCTTTCAATTGTGTATATAAAAAAAATAGAGAAAAATGTCACATGCACCCAACCTGCATTTCAGGTTGTCTATTAATTCAAATGGGCAAGTGACATTTTTATTTTCATTTGTCCACAAGAAAATATTGTAATTAATTACTTAATGTTTTAAGAAAATTATTGAATTGAGGTGTAATCACATGGCTTCCCTAATAGTTTAAGGTAGAATAATTTAGATTTTTAATATGTGATTATACAGAGAATCAGATTCTAATGCAGATTATTGCATAACAATATGTCAGAACTCAGCGGTTTTGTCATGGAGCCATCGGTTTATGGAGTCATCTATAGTTATTCACAAATGATGCATTAACACGTGTCCTGCAATAAATATACATTGAACATATGTCAGTACATAAAGTTATGGTGACTCCATAAGGGAGTCATCCAATGGCTACATAGAATTTCTGCAGAACCCAGTCCTAACTATTAGCTATATTTGGTAAACTTAACCGATAAACTAGTTGATAGCTGATAAACTAGTTAATAGCTGATATAATAATAATTTATGTGGTAGTTGAAAAACTAGCTGATATGGTAAAATTGTTTAGTAAAATTAGCTGATAAATCAGCTGAAATAATCAACGTACTTATTTGAAAAGTTACTCAAATAAAACTTTTAATTAAGCTTGAACTTTTTAAAAAAACTACTCATAACAAACTAACTAAAATCATTTGAATATAAGAAACTAATTATAAGCTAACCAAAATAACTTATAAGGTTTTGAATATAAGAAACTTATAAGGTAACCAAATAACTTGTAAAGTTAACTCGTGATACTTAGCAAATACACTTTAAATTAACATAATTTTTTCACAAATACACATCCCCACATTTGAAAGTGTCATACTTTACAAAACAATATAAGCATAAATATGGAATTCGAAAATATAAATATGATCGTATAAATATACATTTTTATTTAGACAGGTCGATCGGTCGATTGCATAAAACTTGAGTTTTTTTTTTTTTTTTGGTAGCCAGCCACGATATTCGGAATGTTGCCCCGACTAATCCGTTGGTCGACCCGGGTCGCACACCTGACAATGGTGGGTGAGTCTCCCAACAAGAGTTTTCTGCATTCACAAGAACTCGAACCCGAAACCTTGCTTAAGCGACATCAAGATAAAACTTGAGTATTGAACCAAGTAAAAGTCCATTTGCCACATTTACATTTCCTAAAATTTCTTATCATTCAAATTAATTAATGTTATTATGCAAAACAAAGACTTGAATATATGCATGATCGGTTGAAATTTTGTTCCTTTTTTTTTTTTCCTCTTTTTCGAACAAGTTACTGCATGTGCAATTGAAAAACTTAAGTCATAATTTTTATTTTATTTTTTTATACAATGAAAGGAGGCCGTAACCTAGAAATCCACTAGATAGTAGTGTTCCGTGGGTGAACGACGCCTACAATATCGTGTAGGAGCCACGACCTAACTTCCAGTGGAGGGTCAAATAGTCTCTGACAACCATTAAGACATGAATGAGTTAAGGTCGCAAGACAGTCCACAGCAAAGTTGGCTTTACGATAGCAGTGTACAACATATACTTTGCTGTGAACGCGGCATAACGTTTATAACTTATAATTAGAAGTGAGAAAAATTATTCAATTACTCTATATAATAATAACTAACCAACTAACGTACGTGATTGATGGTTGTGAAGTTACAGA